ATTTTGCCTATTAGAAATGTCTCCCCCCAAACCATGGGGCGTCTGGGGCTTTTAAGCAAGAGCCACCCCTTCCCCAGGCGGGGTCCTGCCATAAACCTTTCTCTGCTCCAGACTCTGACGTTTCCATTTGTTTGGCCTCACTGTACCGTTTGGCACAGGAACTTGGGTTCAGTGACAAAAACAACCCCTTGTCGACAATAACCAGCCTAGAAGGTCAGCCTGCCCCAGACGCTCACAGGAAGCCAGGTTGCTATGACGACCCAGGAGGTTAACAGTAACTCCTGTAACAATCAGCCCCTAACGGGCAGGACTTAATTACCAACCGATATGGTCTCTAAATGTGTCCCGCCTTCAACTTGACAGAAGGATTACTCTTAGCTAGAAGCTACTGAGAATCAACCGATGCAGAAAGAAGCTTTTGGAGCTCCTATCATCTGAGTGAAAAGAGACTTCTGAGAAATCAAGACTGCCATGAATCCCCTCTCCGGGGAAGTGGTATGACCACAGAGAAGACAGAGTCAGCACCGAAATGGACCTCCACAGGCACCCTTGTCTTCCGTGACTTTCTCTCACATGTTTCCTTCCCACAATTTGTTGCCCTTGGAAGCAGAACAACCACCCCTCCCGACCCCAGCAAACAGCTGCTTCCTTTGCCTTAATCTCCCCATTTATTGCTCTTTCTTAAAAATTGTATATGAACTCTAAGGCCTTCCTGCTTCTCTGAGGGTATTTTCTTCTCTGTATGAAGCCCCCTATCCCATGCCATGTAAAATATCTAAACACATATAAAATTCGTCTGCCTTTTCTCCAGTTAGTCTGTCTTTTGTCAGTCTTAATTTGCAGGGCCCTGATGACTGTACCTTAGAGTATAGATGGAAAGTGTTTTACCTCTGCTGCACCACTAGGAGGCGTTCCTAGTCCTCCATCTGCCTTGGAGGCTCTGCCAAACACAAGCGATGGTGGCCAACCCATTGTGAGAGCAAGCTTTCAATAACCAGCCTCTGCCTCTCCTCATTTGGGTGGTCTTTGTTTATTTCCACAGGTTTAAGGCACCCTTAGTAACAACAGCTTCCTAGCTCTTGCAGCTTTGTGGAGGGATTTCGTGGCTTGGTAGGGCGTTCTATTTTGCCAACAGTGCCGAAGACCAATGTGGGATGGGGACAGTGAGGGAGACAAGTTTTGTGGCGTCCAGCCCCGCCTGTACTCAGGAAACTGCCCTCCAGCGTCACTTCTGGAGGGGGATTCTGGAAGCTCCCAGTAATGAGGGGAAAATCACAGCTTCCCATAGTATCCCAGCCACTTGGAAATAATCCAGTTGTGGAAATGAATGGGGAATTTCTGTTTTTCCCTAGAGATAGATCACATTCTCTTTCCATTTCTATAGAAACATTCTTGTGAAAAAAGGATTTGCTCCAGGAAAAAAAAACAACACACAAAAAACAAACTGTTGCTGGGAAATCCTGAAAGAAAAGAAAACTGCCATTTTGAAACAAGGATATTATGAAGCAGGAAACGGCGGAGTTAGCTGGAAGGAAGCTCTTGCTAAAAGGAAAACTTTGAGAGTTACACAGAAAACAACAAAGACTCCCTTAGATTCAGGCGGGAAAATCTGTGATTTACATAAAAATCGGGTCGATGGATGGCCCTAAAGCACGCAGCAGGAGCCAGCCCTGGGGCAACCCATGCAGATTTTTTTAGGGGAAACTTTCAAAACAGGGTCTCATGAAGCCCCAGCTGGGCGTGTTCCTGACCGAGACCTTGTGAGGCCAGCAAGGACTCACAGAAACATCCCACCTGTGCGTTAAAAGGGTGAAGACAAAACTTAAAAAAAAATTTAATTAAATTTTCCTAAGGAAAAAAAAAAACCCTCCCTGTTTCCTTTAGCATTTGCTTTAGAAAACTGACAAGCGTACAGCCTCCCTGGGGAGTGGCTGAATCTCTAAAAGCTGAAGGGACCCTCCCAGCACCTCCCCGGCCCCGTCAGTGCCTGTATCCCGAGAGGGTCCGCCTGAGGGGCCCCCAAGACCCTCTTCGCTAAATGTACGTGAGGAAGGGGGCGGGGAGGTCCAGCCTCCTGTCTCCGTGGGAGTTTGGCTCCACGATGTAACTTCCTGCTCCCTGAGAAGATGCTCGAATTTGTATTTGTCCTTTGGGTGCAGACAACCGACACGTGCGTGTGCTTGTGTGTGTGTGCGCGCGCGCACACTGGGTTCTGTCTGCCCGGCCCTACCAAGGAGGGTAGTCTCTGAAATCTCTTAGGCTGGTTCAGTGATACAACTGTCTGCTGGGTTGGCAGGTGATTTTATTTAATGAATGTATTTGCATATTTATCTGTATTTTGCTCTGTGCTTTAGTGCCCCCCCCAAATTGTTTAATTTTTATTGTGTGTGTCCCTCTGTGTCTGCTTCTCTCTCACGGAGCATCCTGTGTTCAAGGTCCATCCACCTGTGCAGGGCTTCCCTGAAGGGCACATTTTATTTTACACTATATTATCTCTCCTGAAAATTCCTCCTTGGACTGGGATGAAATGAGGAACCAGAAAAGGGGGGTCCCGGCAGGGATGTGAGGAACACTGACAGCCCCCAATCCAACGCCACGTGCCAGATACTGACCGTGCTCTTGGTAACACAGCCGGGGACAGACGTTCTGAAACGACTCAAGAGGAAAAATATGGAACCCCATTCTTACCGGGAAGACCAGGGTTGGAAGGGAGCTCCTGGGTGGAGACAGGGAGCTCTTCACTCCGAGGGCATCAACGGAGCCCCTTTGCAGGGGACCAAGGGAACTTCTCAGCCCCATGCCCCCTCCTCCCCTTCTCTGCCCTGTGGTCCTGCTTCTGTATTTTCTGCAGCTCCCTGCCCACTCATGGTGACCAGAGGGGCACCTCTGAGACCACTCAGGGAAGCGGCCACTTCAAAAGTCTTGGCCAGCAAGACCACCTCTCCGCCATGTCAGCCATCTAGCAGGAAGGGGCCTCCCCGGGACGGACGCGGGGCTGAGGGGGGTCCCGGTGGGCGGGGACAGGAGAGGAGGCTGAACATCACTGAAGGGACAATGAGGTCACCTTGGGAATTTGGACATCTTTCTCTAAGAAGCTGATTTTAAGCAGATAAATAATATATTCATGTTTTTTTCATAAATACAATGTTTTTTTTTAATCTCATTTTTCTTTTAAAAGCACAGGTGCGTTGTGACCCACCGCTAAGTCTCCCAGAGCCCTCTCCCCGCACGTGATAGCGCTGATTCCTGCCTCTTCCTCTTTGGGGTCATAAAACACCACGTGGTTCTTGCATGGTTCCCCATATGGACCATGGGAGAGGCAGCAGGATTGTTTAGAGTTGAAGGCCATTAAGAAAACACACGGGGCAGGGGGAGGGTATAGCTTAGGGGTAGAGTGCGTGCTTAGCATGCACGAGGTCCTGGGTTCAATCCCCAGTCCTTCCACTAAATAAATAAACCTATTTGCCAGCCCCCCAAATAAAACCCTCAAAATTAAGTTCACCTTAAAAAAAATAAAAGAAAAGGAAAAATGCAAGAAATGCTCCCTGCCTTCCCCCATTTGCCTAGAAGGAGTGTGAAGGAAAAGCCCGGCTGGGCTAACAAGCTAACTCACAAATCTAAGTGTAACAAGTGTCGGATTACTGATCTGAGGTCTGCTGGGCTAACTTGTAAATCTGAGTTAATTATTGTTGGTTTGCTGATTCCCTGTTCATGTTTTTTTTTGCTAGCCAGCTGGACTTTCAAAGAGACATATCTGGCCTTGAAATGTTGGTTTCCTGCCTCCCTGCCTCCACTTTTGTGGTAATGATGTTGCTAAAGCTGTTCCATGCCTATTGGCCAAATACCCAAGCTTGTAATTAACCCTATAAAACCTCATGCACACGTCTTGGAGGTGCTCAGAGCTTCGGAGCAGAAGCCCCTCTGAGCCCGCCGGCGTAATAAATCTGAGTACTCCAACCCTCCGAGTGGTGCTTGTTTCTTGGCTGGCCTGTCATTTCCGTAAAAGGAGGACACACATTTGCAAAGGGGATCCCCCCCTACATAAGTTCATCTCCAGAGAAAATCAGCCTAGACATTTCCCACCCTAAAACCTCAAAGTCGTTTTCTTTCATCCTGACATCTCTCTACAGAGTCCTCGTCCTCCTGTTAGGATTTTAAACATGTCCGTGCTTAACCAGCCCTTTCCTTGGGGTGACTCACGTCTGAGTGCTCCTGCCCGTGCACCTGTTAACAAACATTCTTTTGGTTTTCCTTGTGTTACTCTGTCTTTTGTTAACGTGCAGGGCCCCAACCAGGAAACCCAAGATGTGTAGACGGTGGGGAGAAAAGGCTGTTTCCTTCCCCTACAGAGGCTTGTCTGCCAGAGCTGTTCTCGGGACCTCGAAGCGAGCAAAATCAGAAAAAATGCATCTGTGTGGGGGGTTCATGAACACAGCCCACAGTTTGATTCTGTCCTATGACCTTTTCCTAGGGATGTTTGAGTCTCCACATTGTGGCATTGACCAGTTTGAAGCACCACCCAATAGGGGTCTCTCAAAGTCCTCATTTCCACAGTGGGAACTGTGGGATGAGGGGCTAAAAGCGCCCCAGCGGGGGGAGGAGGGGCAGGATTCTTACCCGTGCTATTCTGCAGACACTGATGGATCCCCCTGCCCAGGGCATCACCCACCTCCTGTGCAGACCCACTGGGAACCCCAGAATTGGTGTCAAAATTATCTGAAGCTGGGACAGGATAGAGCTGAAGTGGTAGAGAGCATGCTTAGCATGCACGAGGTCCTGGGTTCGATCCCCAGTACCTCCTGTAAGAATAAATAAATAAATAAACCTAATTACCCCCCCCAAAAAAGATTAAAATTATCTTAAACTGAAACTATTTGGATTCAACAGGTGCAGAAGGAAGCCTCCTGGACCTTTTCTTATCTGCCTAAAAGCAGAAACTTCTGGAAAATGAGACAGCCATAAATCTCTTTGGTGTGGCTTTTATCCCATGAAGGAGACTGAGGGTGAACCTACCATAAATCTCCTCTTGGGGGCACTTTGATGGCCATGAAGAAGAATGAAAGTCCACTCACATCTCCATGAACAAACATTCTCACAAGATTTCTTAGCTCCCGTTCATTTCAGTCTTCTAGAAACTCATTTTCTTCCCATGTAGACCTAGTCTCCCTCCTCCCTTTTCCCTCCTAGTTAGATTTAGAAGTCCCTAACTTCAACCATTTATCAAGCAACTTCTTTTGTAAGCTTCCAGATGCATAAGGACACACTTTTTGTGCCCCCTCCTCCTGTGAATCTTTGATTAGTTTAATTCGCAGGCCCCCAGGAGGAGAACACAACAGTATAGAGGACAAGTCTTTCCTCCTTGACATCCTCAAAACCAAACAAGAGAAGCAGAAGTATGTGAACTAGGTGATGAGTGAATGCATGGAGCCCAATGAGACAGGACGAATCCAGGAAACTGTTTTAAAGTTGAAGGAGGGGGAAGTCCATTTAATTTGGCAAATTCACATCCTTCCCCATCCTCCCTTCTGGAAGGCGAGAAATCAAAATAAAATCAGGTGCAGAAAAGACAGCCATTGTATTCGTTCTCATACAAAAGAGTTAATGTGCAAATTTTACCTGCCTTCCCTACCCCCCCCAACCTGGGTCTACAGAAGTAGAATGAAGAGGACCACCCCATACTTGGATTTGTGACCCTAAAAGATGGCACTTTGCATAAGGATTATTTTGAGGTGAAGGCAGTTGAGGGGCAGAAAGAGTTCTTGCCTCCCCTGACCTGCTCAAAAGCAGGCACTGATTCCCCTTTGTGAAGGTGGCACAAACACTCCCTCTCTCCTGTGTCAGATTGAGGAGAGTGACCTTTACCGCTGAGGTGGAGAACCGGTCCCGAGATGAGGCTGCCTACACAGAGCTTATAAAATAACCTTTATTTTCCATCAATTCCCCATATATTCCTAGTCGTGTCCCCACAAATCTATCAGCCTCCGAAGCCCAAATCTCCTCTCTTTTGTCTAATCACTTCTCCACAATTTGTTAAAAGGGCACATAAATTTCCCAGTCTGACCCCCTCTTTGGGTTTTTACTTCTTTCCTGTGAAGCTTTGTGTACATAAAAATTAAAAATATGAACAACACTAGATGCTTTTTCTCCTGTTAATCTGGCTTTTGCCTACTTAATTTGCATGTCCCTTTCACAGCACCTAAGAAGATGGAGGGAATTTTTTTTCCCTCTCCAACAGGAATAGTCAGAGAGGGAAACTCAGGAGGCATTTTGCAGGGAAATTCAAGAGTTACAAAGAGCAAAATCACAGGGCAGGAGCTGTGAGCACTCACCTGTGGGGTTTGGCTGATGGGAGGGTCAAGTGGGGCGTCTATTGTACATTCTTGCCAAGTCACGTTTCTCCTGGAATTCCAGGTTAACATTTTTTTCCTTGAATCTAGCTTCAGGTTTATAATAGGAGATACCTTCTCCTGTGCTGTAATTTAAAAAACAAGAAACAAAAACCAAACAGTTAGCAAGAATTGGAACACCTTCCCCCCACCGCCAGTGACATTATAGTTACAGTCGAGGGGAGACATTTTGCAGGCATCCGGGGTGGGTCGCTGTGGGGTTTTTTTGTTTGTTTTGTTTTTACTTTTTCTTTATCAAGGCCAGATTAGCATAACATAGAATTAGCCGTTTAATTTAATTTAGTTTAATTTTTAATTGAAGTATAGTTGTCCAATATCATGTAAGTCTCAGGTGTACAATACAGTGGCTCACAGGTTTTAAAGGTTATGCTCCATTTATGGTTATTGTAAAATGTGGGCTGCATTCCCCGTGTCGTACAATGCGTCCTTGTAGCTTATTTATTTTACACATTTAGTTTGTACCTCTTAGCCCCTTCCCCCAATCTTGCCCCTCCCCCTTCCCTCCCCCAACTGGTCACCATTTGTTTGTTCTCTGTATCTGTCAGTCTGTTTCTGGTTTGGAATATTCACTAGTTTGTTGGTTTTTTTTAGGTTCCACATGTAAGCGATATTATACAGTATTTGTCTTTCTCTGGAAGTAGCTATTTCCCCCTGAACAACTCAGTGGCATTTATGAGCCCGGGAAAAGATGGTCATTAGAAAAAGGCGAATCTAAACCTCGATGAGATGCCACTTCATCCCAGTGAGGCTACCTACAACAATAATTATATATAAAAAAACAAAAACAGAAGATAATTGTTGGAGAGGATGTGGACAAACTGGAACCCTGTGTGTGTGGCTGGCGGGGAGGCAAGGCGGGGCATTCTGTGTTGGTTTAACTGAGCAGCTTCAGTTAATTGAGCATCTTTCCAGGCACTCAGGATGGGGGAGGGGACCGCTGAAGGGTCTCTGCCGAGGTGTCCCCTCTGAGCTGGGGTCGCTAGTGGTGGACGTGATTCAGGGCACCCACCTACGTGACCTACCTCGCCTGTCAGGACATGCCTGCCACCACCCACCTCACCTTTTCTCCTTTCTTTCATTTTCTCTCTGTGTCCTTTTCAAGTGTATACACATCCTTTAAATGCCTACTAAGCGTCTGGCCAGGCTCACCATCCAGAATGTTTCCTCCAGGACTTGGAGCATCTCTGAAGTGTGACCATCCAAGAAGGGAATGCCCGTCTCCCACTCTCCTGGGAGGAAAGGGCCCAGAGGCATCTGGACTCTGGCTCCGAACTGCAAACACACCAGAGGTAACGGGTTGGACCCACTTCGCTCCGTTACCAGGCGAGAGTGCTTTCTGTCTGTGCAACCTCTTTACCGGGCTGTGTGTGACGCACATCTCGCCTGTGCTCATTCCACACAGCTATTTTCTTTCTCTTCCACCATCACAGACAGGTTTCCTGGGTCATCGGGAGAGTTTGTTCTCGATGACTTTCCCCTGATACAGGCTAAAGATCTGACACCCACCCTAGCTGGGTTTGGGGTTTGGGGTTTGGGGTTTGGGGCTGGGGTGGGAGGACCTCTTCTCGCCTTTGATCCCCTGATTCTGCTGGAGGAGAAACACATCTGCTTCTGGTCTGATTTGCAAGGAGATCCCTTCCCCTTGCGGGGTGGGGGGAGGGCGGTGCCCCAGGTCACAGGAGCTTTTGTCCCTTCAAGTGTTAGGGGAACAGCAGCCACACCATGTCATGGACCCCAGCGTTGGAGGACTTGCTGGCACTTACCTGGGTCTGTGAAGCATGCTGGGTTCAGAGGCACCAGGAGGAGGCTTATGAAAACTAACAGGACTGCCATGCTGCTGCCCCGCAGCTGGACCTAAACTTCCAAGGGGGAAACACCAGCTCAGAAGTCAGTCCAACCAAGGCAGGAGCACTTCTTTCTTAGCACAACCCCCAGGGAGTCACCAGGACTCAGGATCGACCTGCTGGGGCCTTTGTGAGTAGAGGAAAATGGCAGGCCTGAGGCACTTGCCTCAGGACTAGAGTTGTTGCCTCATATGTCAAAGTGGCTGCTGTGGACCAGCATCCTCACCACACATCCTTTCTTCTTTTCACTGAAAGCCTCACTTTTCTTCTAATAGCTTCATGACTCTATTACTTTTCAATTAAAATTTTTAAGTGAAGTACAGTTGATTTACAAACTTCTGCTAGTTTCAGATGTATAGCAAATTAATTCAGATATATATATATATGTTCTTTTTCAGATTCTTTTCCATCTTAGGTTATTACAAGATATTGAACATAGTTCCCTGTGCTGTATAGCAGGATCACCTTTTAAATTCTGCTTGAAACTCCCTCCAAAGCGTCCATCAACTTTACGCACATTTATAATGACAACTTTCACCAAACTGCAATTGAAGAAACAGTTTCTGGCTCCTCCCTGCGTGTTACTTCCACAGGCCATCAGTGGTCCACATTCTCAATGCTGAGAGGCGCATGTAGGGACCCACTTAGAACCCAGAGTTGGTATTAAGATTACTTAAAATTGGTCTTCTCCTAAGTGATCATTGAGGGCAGGAAAGGTGAGGCCCTCAATGAAAAGAAAAAGGGATGTGTGATGAGCACACTGGTCCACTGCAGCTACTTTGGAGTATGAGGCAACTCTGCCTGGCCATGAGCCAAGCACTTTGCTTCTGTCATTTTCTTCTACTCACAATTGCCCCTGCAGGTAGGGACACCCCCAGGCATCAACCTAGGGGAAGAACCACAGCTTAGGGAGGTCCTCTTTCTCAGTGCCCATGGAACAGAGTCCTGGGAACCATCTGAGAGCTGGAGAGCCAGCTGAGCTGCAGAAGCTGAGGGGAAGGGAGCCTTGTGAGGTGAGGCTTCCACCTGGATGAAGCCACTGGGAGGCCAGGTGCAGGAAGAGCTGGGAGGCTCCATGGAGGTCTGGACGGAGGTCATGTGTGACCTTGGCACAGAGACTTTTGGTGGACAGTGTGGCCAAGGACAGTCCGTAGTGTTTGGGGTGTAGACCACTGGATCTCAACATCAAGAACTGGCCATGGGACTAACTCCAATTCTCAGGGACCCAGGGAAGCCAGCATTCCCTCTGTCCTCCCAGCATGGAAGATGACTGCACTGCCCTGGACAGACCCTGCCCGGGGTTGAAGGTCAGGGGATCAGGTTCCTGCTGTTCACCCCTATTTGACTGGGCGGGAGTCCTGCCTTGCACGGAACAGAGGCTGCTGCTTCCAGATCTGGAGGCAGGACGTGCACCTCTCTCTCTCCCTGAGAAGTGGCCGAGGCCCCCACTCTGTTTCTGCCTGGTGTTTCATTGCAAGAAGCTGGATCCCAGAGTCAACTGACTCCCAGACCCTTTGAGAAAACTATTCCTCTAACCAGGGCAGCAAAAAAGAAAAAAAAAAGCATAAAAGAATCTGAAATATTCTAGTGGAATCTCTTTTTGTGTTTGGTGATTGGAGGGCAAGATTTTGTACATTTGAGCAGATTTTTTTTTTCTAATAGCTTCATGACTCTTCAGATCAGCAAGGGCTGAACACAGAGAGAGGGGGACAAACTGGGCTGGCTGCACCGTCCCTGGAGGTGAGGCTGCAGGCAACCTGGATGAGGATGGAATCCCTTTTTTGGGAGGAGCTGACAGCACGCGGGGGCCACTGACAATGTGGGGTGCCAGGACCCTCAGCATTTCAGCCTTTGTGCTCCTTTTGGGAGACAATGGCCAACCTCTTGTGATCAGAATCAAATTGCTTCCTTCCTGGGGGGAACCAGGTAGCCTCCTTTTTGCTCTGTGTCTCATTAGTGAGCAGGAAGTCTTCCCTGGTGCGACAGGAGGCTGGGGAAAGGGAGAATTGGAGAGTAGAGCTTGTAGGGCAGGGGAAAAAAATCTTTCCATCTTCTACCCTCTTAGATTCGGTGCCTGGTGCATGCAAATTAAACTGATAACAAAGACAGATTAGCAGAAAAGCCAGCTTTAGTTACATATGGACGCATGGGCGTTTGCAAAGGAAAAATGTAGTTCAAGGAGGTGGCCAGATAGTTGAGGCTAATATTTCCTCTTAAGCTCAACAAAGGAAAAGGGGTTTGGGACTTCTGGGTGGGGGAAGCCACTTTTGGGAAGATGACTCCGGGATCCTTCTAGGATTCTCAAGCGTCAGAGCTCCCACAGATTGCTGAAACCTTTCCCAACCGTGTTGGGGCAACACAGGGAAGTCCTGAGCTCTGTTTTAAAGAAGTAAGTTCATAGCATGCAATGCAGCAAATACGGCCTGCCAGGCCGAGGACAGGGAACCCCGTGGGGCCCCAAAGGAAGCCCCAAAAGGTCACAAAAGGTTTGGAGAAAGATAGAGGGAACCAAGGCATGAATCCCTGCCCAGTGATGAAGTTTCTAACGAAATTTCTGAGGAACCAGCCCTGCTCACACCTTGACCTCAGATTCCTGCCTCCAGGACTGGGAGGGAATAAATGTGTGATGTTTAAGCACCCCCCCGCCGCCCCCCGTCTGGGGGCCTTTATTCTGTGCAGCATCTGATTCATGCAGCAGAGCAGTCAGGAAAACAACGGAAGATGCTGTGTGAGTGTCCAAGACCCCCCCCCACCTCCAAATCACCCCCATCCCCGTTATGAGTCCTGAGAGCGAATGACACACACTGGTATCCGGTGTCTGAGGGAACCAGGGTGTGGATTTCTGCCTGGTCCCTGGAGGTGGGAGCTGGCAGGGAGGGGAGGGAAACTCAGGACGGGGGTCAGATGGACCCCGGCTCTTGGGAGAGGCCAGAGTGTGGAACGCAGCCCAGCCGGGGGAGCACAGGACGCCCCCTCTCTTCCCCCCACTACCTCAGGGCAGTGTGGACAGAATCAGAGCTCCCCATCCTGCTGTCAAGACCCCAGGAGACATGCTGGAGATCCCCCGCCTCTTCTGCAAACCCTGTTTAACCCCTAACTGGCTGCGTTTTTTCAATTGCTTCATCTCGGACTGTTTGCCCACATCAGAGGGACAGATTGCTTGAGCCGTGGATGGACGGGGACGGAGTGCCGGCGTGGAAGTCAGGGGGCTTCTTGTGTGCTTCTCTAGGAGGGCTAGGGCTGTGCCCGTTTTAACAGATTCCATCTGACCGCCTTCTCAGGGTGCCTCCGACCGCACGACGTGTCCAGTGACCCTTCATTCTCTCTCCACCAGGGGTGCACGTCTTTTCCCTTGTGGTCCACGTGCCCACGGCCACTCGTTTCCGAGAAAGCGCTCGTCCCCGAATCCCGGGCAACGTCCCGGGGTCTGGCACCGTGTTGGTGGCCCTTTCAGGGGCATGTGGGGCGGTGGGTCTGCTGTATTCTCTCTGACCACCATCACCTCACCTGCAGTCTCTTCCCCGCATCCCCGCCCACTCTCCTCCATCCTCTGCCGTTTCAGCAAACCTGCCCCACCGATTCATCGGCACGTATCTCCGTCTGTATGTCTAAGCCACGACGGTGCTTTGAAACGTACCCTGCGTCCTCACTGCACCAAAAACAAGGACATCTCAAGGAGAGGGCTTCTGCTGATGGGCTCTTAATCTGACACCTGTGTCCTCTCCTTCTTACGGTCCCCAAAGACATGTCCCCACGCTTCCGGAATCTCCAACTGTCCGGCCGCCGGCCACGGACGGCACCCTGGCGCTGTCTAGCGAAGGCTGCGAACGTGTCCTGGGTTCTGAGCCCAAGTTTACATCCCTTGCCGCGTTCGCTGGTTTCTCCAGGATGGAGTGAAGGCGGCATCACGTCTGTCCTTCCCAGGGGAGACCCACACGCTTTCTGGGCGTCCCCCGGAGCCGAGGAAAAGGCCTGTGGGTCAGAGCCGTGTCCCCACCTGGCCCCAGGGCGGGGATGAGGGCTCTGTATGTGCATGTCGCTGTCTGAGCCCAACGCTCGATGGCTCTGCTGCTTAAAGACACCCCAAAGGAACCATTTCAGGCGTAGATGAGAGCGCACGGCGCCACGCACGCAATGTGGGCCTCGGCCAGACCCCCCTTAACCACCTGGGCCTTCGCTGAGCAGCAGTGAAACCGCGACTTCCACTGATGCCACTTCCCCATCGTCCCCGGTCCCCCGGGCCGTGACTTCCCGTCCCTTCTGCTGCCGTCCCCGGAGCGATGCGCCCACCCGGTCCCGCTGCCCCTCCCACCGCAGGCCCACGTTGCCGCCGGATCCTGTGTCCTCCCTGAAGGTGGGGGGAAAGGCAACCTACCGGTCAGGCGACTTCGTGGGTCCTTCTGGACTCTTTCCGGGACCCCTTGAAGGCCGGTGCGTGGGGTGGGCGGCGGTCACCTCTGTAGGGCGATGGCAGGGAGCAGGGGTCCGCCGGGGGCCCACTGTCTCCCCGGAGGCCGGACTTCGGCAGCGAGAATGAGAAAGCCCGACAGTCTGTCCCTCCGCACTCTGTCGGTCTGCGTGTGCCCTTGTGTAAGCGGCGTCTCGAGAAATAATCTATCAGCGCGTCTCCCTCTGCACCGCGTGGCCAGCTGGCTGTTATCATCGCGGGGGACAGGAAGCGTTCCAACCCAGCCCGCTGGCCGTCTCGAGCACGGACCCTTCCCCTTGGGGTTTTCTTATCAACCTCCTGAGGTTCCTCTTTTTGTAGCAGGATCTCTCAGGCTATCTCCCCCTCCCTGCTCCCCATGGAGAGGCCTCGCTGCCATGTCCTGTGTCCCTGGGGGACAGGACGCCCGCTCAGGCGACCTGCTGACCCCAGAGCTCCCGGGCACCCTCTGGGGTGAGACTCCCTCAGAGTCCAGATGGAGAAGCATTTCTGGGACCCTGCGTGGAGCGGGGTCCTTGGGTCCCTCTGGCTGGGACCGCTGGCCCTGTCTCACCATGCGTCCTCCTGGGGCCAGAGCCCCCAGGTCGCCGGCCACAGCTGTCTGCTTTCCTGCAGGACCTGGCTTCCCCGGGAGGGTGGTGAGTGTGTGTCCCCAGCACGTCCAGGCGGGGGTCGGTCCTGACGTCGGGGCAGGACAGACACACCTTATTTTATTGCGCTCTGCAGAAACTGCCTTTTGGTTTTTTTGTTTTTAACTAATCGAAGGTTTGTGACAATCTTGCATCGAGCAAGTGTTTCGGAGCCATTTCTCCAATATTTTGTCACTTTGTGTCACTGTGTCACATGCTGGTCATTCTCGCCTGTTTCAAGCGTTCTCATTATTATCGTGGTTTTGAGGACGATCTGTGATCGGAGGTCTGTGATGTTATGAGTCACTGCAGCCTCAGAGGGCGGTTAGCACTTTTTTTTTAGCAACAAAGTATTTTTAAACTCAGGTTTGTACACTGTTTCTTTTTTTCCTTAAAATTTCTTTAATCATATTTTTGTATACAATTCGAAGCACAAATATATTCATTATGTTCTCCCTTCTGAAAATATTTTTTGAATGGCTGCTGTAGAAAACAGAGTAACAATCATTGTAAATTAACTATACTTCAATTTAAAAGATGCTTAAAAACACATGTTCAGGAAAACTGTGTTACTTACAGTTTGGAAAAATGGCATATTTCTTAATCTTTAAAAATGAGAGTCATGGCTCTGTGTGATGTATGCAAATGTATCAGTAATTTGGAAGTAAATACTGTACGTATGTGTGGCTTTAGTTAGAGTGATTTTAGGCTCGAGGACAGAGCAGGGCCACTCCCCACTCTCTCTGGCCCACAATTAAGGGGTCTCACAATCAGGGGAGCGGTCTCTGCAGAGATCAATCAGACAGAGAGAGAAGGTATGTGAGGGATTCTGACCCTCCGAATGAGTACCTCACTGGCAGGTCTTCCTTAGGGCGTTATTTCATGGCCACTGAACATGTCTCTTGAACAACAATATTATCTCCAACCCCTCCTACGTCTGAGTTGAAATTCCTTTAATGGGGAACAAAACTGTCAGCATGTATGCCTAAGAATAAAACACAAGCCGTCTGGGACCGTTCTTGCAAATTCATACTAAAGTGTTAATGACTAATATCTGATCGGGTCCTATTTAGATGCAGGAAGTCGATACTTAATAGATGCTAAGGGTCAGATGGGAGGAAGGCATGGGAGGCAGAATGGGGAAGAAAGGGGGAATAGAAAGTGCCAACCCTAAAAATAAAATATCTCCATTTCACTGTGTCATCTGCTTGGTCCTGCACCCGCTGTTTGCTGTTGGGTAGCTGTTACCAGAATTTTTTTTTTTCCATTCACAGAATTTTCCCCCCGCCATCTGGACAAAATGTCGAAGTGGAAGGAATGTGCTGTTGGTACTGCCGAGTTCCTTTCTCCCTCTCGCCCCTCTGTGTGCTTCCGGTGCTTCCAGTTACACCCCACCCCGTGGGTATCCCCTCCTGCACTCTCTCAGCCTCCGATGGGCAGACATGTGGTCACCGGGGAGGGCAGCTTGGTCCCTCAGGCTTCCAGGTGGTTTTCACTTTCTAACGACGTCTTGACCTGAAGGAATGGGGTGCGACTGGAGGCCCCAGGAGGGAACAGGGTGCAATTGGAGGCCCCAGGAGTTGTAGGAGGTGATGGGGAGGTGGGTTTCCTGGGTCACATTTTGCGAATGGACAGGTGGATGGGAATGACAGGAGTGCTTACTGAATTGGTGATGCAGGTGGGGCCACTGAGGACCGACTCTGGGGGCCACCGCGATCACCAGGAGATGTGGGGGGGTATTGTGTCAAATCTTTGGTAGCTGCATGTCAGTGACACTGAGAATGTTTACACCACGGGAATCCACAGTTCTACAAATCAGGATTTTTTTTCCTTCTGGAGGGCCAGTTTAGGGGAACTTCATGCCTCTGAAGTCGAGACCAGGAGCTGAGAGGTCACTTCAGGCCCTGGACATACAATTTGGTTCCCTCAAGTTTCGTCAGCTGGAAATGCAGAACAATGAGCTATGATAAGAGCCCCCCCCCACTCCCCTGCCAAGCAGAGCTGTGTCATCAGAGAGCAGCCTGAGGGGAGGGACAGATGCCAGGGGCACAGTCGCTGGGGGCAGATGCCCATCGCCCTGGGAGGTATCCCCGAGGAAAAGCGCAGGCACCCACTGGAGGCTGCATGGACGGCCCCATGGGAGGACACATCTCAGTGTATCAGTACATATGTCCATACATCCAGGTGAGTCTCCGTTATTCAAACGCTTACCTGTGGAGAGGAGCATGGCTAGGAAGGTATTTTGTAGGTGTGACTCAAGTCCACAACCAACTAACCTGAAGTAAAGAGAAGACACGCCGTGTGTGGTGGGCCTCGTCCGATCAGGCGAAGGTCTTAAGCGCAAACGCTCAGGTTTCCCAGAGAAGGAGGAACTCTGCCTCCAGGGGGCAGTGTCGGCTCCCAGCTGAGACTGCAGCCTGCCCACCAGCCCTACAGACTTCAGACTCACCAGCCCTACAACTGCAGGAGGCAATTCCCTGAAATAAATCTCTCTCCATATTTATACCTGTCACCATATATATATATTTCTCCAAATAGATATCTCCACATACATATGCACATATGTGTCTCTTTCTGTGTATAGACATACACCCACAGACAAGTCTCCATAGGTATACAGCTGGCCGTCCATATTTGTGGCTTCTGCATCTAAGCATACAGGGAGCCAACTGTGTAACTAACTCTTCCTCTCTCTCTATATATATGTATTTATTTGAATATCTCTATATCTCTCCTTCTGTAAGTCCGTATGTCTCCACATCTGTTTCTAATCTGTAGCCTGTCTCTCAAACCTGTACCTAATGATCTATCAATCATCTATTACCTATCCATCCATCCATCCAACCATCCATCCATCCATCCAACCATCCATCCATCCATCCATCCATCCATCCATCCATCCAACCATCCATCCAA